AAGATGGTATTCCTGCTCACCTGGGGGATTAGGTCTGGAGGGTGGAGGATGTCCTGAGTGTGTGGAGCTGTGGCTGCCTAGTAGATTAGGTTTCTTAATGTCTTATTCTCTTTGCTTCCTTCTCTGATTAATATCTAGCCACATACACTATCATTTACTAATAAGGGCTTGCTTTGTCCCAATATGTTATCTTATTAATTCCTTATGATGACCCTATTGCTGGCAAAACAGCACCAGAATGTTACCAGCATTTGAAATTCGGTTCAGCAACCTTGGTACTTGACTGAGTTCTGGCTAAGTAAGAATTTAGAACCAAGACTCAAACTATAAGAGAAAGGTTATTTAGAAAGTCACAGAGGTTGAAGAAGTGAGCCATGAAGTAAACCAGCTGAGGTGTGTGGGCTTGTGGAACAAGTCACAGATGCAAAAGAAGGGCTGTTGGAACTTAGGAGAAAGAGAGAGGCAAGAAAAATGCCCCTGGGGGAAGAAGGTGGGAAAAGGTGTGGGCATGCTTCATAGAGAGTGCTGTGCTGGGTCCCCCATCCTAAGGGCTTTTAAAGGTGGGGATTTTTAGGGGTGGTCCCAGGGAAGAATATTAACAGAATAATCATCAGCTTTCCAGGTGTTTTCTTTCAGGATCATGGTCTCCACTGATTGGTCAGCACCAGGGGGCTCCTTTTAATCCCTTGAAAAGGATTAATTGCTTTCTTCTTTCAGCAGAACTATTGGCACCTGTCTTGTCATCTCTTGCCCCTGTCTGGAAGTCAGATGGGACTTTTCTCCAGCTCCCTTGTTTTTCTCCAAGCAGGGGGAATCTACCACATGATTAGGTACATGCCAGGGGAGAAAAGGTCAGGGGGAAGACCTACCCTGCATGACTGCAGACAATCTAGGGGAGGAAAGGGTGCCTCAGGAGTGAGGTCTTAATGATACTTATTTCTAATACTTGCTCTCCTAGTTCTGCCCATTGCTAGGTATCTGTTGCAAGGTATCTGCCCTATTGTCCTGCTCTGCTCATGACTGTCTGACTGTCTACCATAGTCCTATCTCTATCAGGGTTCTTGGTCTCACGCAGTAGAACCAGTTAAGAAAGAGAAGGGGAAGGAGGGAGGCTATTAGAAAATGTAGGAGTCAACAAAAGGAGGCACAGAGAGATGAAATGGGTTGCCCAAATCACAGTTAATAAGTGTTGGAAGTGGCTTTCAGACACTGTTTGTGAAGTTCATACTGATTACAGAGGATTGAGTCCCTGTTAGGGACTCGAGCCCCAAGCTAAGAAGGTGGTTGGCTCCATGCAAGAAAGAATTCAAGAACAAGCCATGGCCCTGGCTGGGTAACTGAGTTGGTTAGAGCATCATCCCGATACGCCATGATTGCAGGTGTGATCTCAGTCAGGGCACATACAAGAAGCAACCAATGAATGTATAAATAAGTGGAACAACAAATTGATGTTTCTCTCTCTCCCCCTTCCTCTCTTTCTAAACATCATTTCTAAAAAAGTAAATGACAACAAAAATGAACCTTGGAGTGACGTGAGGTAGCAAATTTATTGAGCAAAGTGGACAAGCAAGAAAAGCTACTCCACAGAGTCGTGGTCTTGCCTCGCCAGTAAAGAGAGAGGAGAGACCCCACCCCCAACTTTTCTAGAGATTGAGCTTGTATCTGTTTGTAGTTTCTATTAAAAATTACTGGTATGGAGAAATAGAGTGGGAAAAAATGTTGGGCTTAACTTTTATTTTTATCCTGACCTGAGGTCATTTTTTTTTCATTATTTTTAGAGAGGGAGGGAAACATTAATGTAAGAGAAACATCTATTGGTTGCCTCCAGTACATACCAGGACTGGGGACTGGACTCACAACCTGGGTACATGCCCTGACTGGGGATCGAAACTTCAACCTTTTGTTTACAGGACAATGCTCCAACTGAGCCACACCAACCACGGCAACTTTAAATTTTAAAAGGTACATTTTGTGGTCCGTTTTATTTTGTGGTATTAGTAAACATTTATGGTATGAACAAGCTACTGATAGTAATCTTTACAAGAATTTTGTAAGTTCCTTGTGATTTGATTTGATTAACCAAGTTCTATACCTGGTGGCATGTAGCAGGCTCTAACATGACTTTACTTTGGTCTATTTGTTTAGTTCTCATGCCCCTCCCCTATATTAATACTCTGTGAGAACAATGTATGAAACATGTTACTTTGGTGGGTCAGTTGGACAAGCTAGGGCCCTACTCAAATCTCCAGAGTGAGCACACCACACAGTCTCAGTGATGGAGCCATCGAAGCTACAGAACAAGGAATTTATTATACGGCTATACTTGGCCTAATGTGACAGCAAATGACTATGCAACCTGTTCCCTGAATCTAGTATTGAGCCTGGAATCACTAGAGGTCAGGTAGGTGGCAGTGGTGAAGAAGAATGGATGTGGTAACAGCAAGTACACACAAATTCGAAGTGCTTCTGTATATCATGACATTCACCCTTGAAGCCATGGGAATCACAGGACTGTAGGAAAAACACATAGCAACCCACATATGTGCCCTGCACTTAGACAGGTGGAAGGAGGCTCTTGTTGAAGCTGCAGGATCTGGAGGTCCATGGTGCAGCAGTTCAACTACACCCAGCTGTTGTGTTCTGATGTCCTGTACCCACCTTCAGAACGTAACACACAACTGTTATTTCACTTCTGCTTCTGAATTTCATGCAATGTCACATTGCTGATACTAATCTTTAGCTAGCCAGGGAAGGACATCTTGGGAAAGGTAGTTTCAGCTTAGTGCCAATGGACACAATACAAAGCTACCACACCTGCCTTGAGTGTCAAGGGCAGCACAGTGCACCCCTCATTGACCAAAAATGCCAGATGTTGGCTTTCTTGTTCACTTTGCAGTTCCCATGTCTGCCTGGGGGAAGCCAATCAGATGCATGTTGTTTGCATCCTGAGCCACATAGCAGCAATGACAGTGGTGAATTCTTCCAGTTTACTTGTTCAGTCTCCATGAGGCAGTAAGTATAGTGTGGTTTATAGCAGGAACACAGGACCATGGTGCTGGGTTTGAATGGGCTGGGTCTGTGATTTTTGCAAGCCATCTAAGCTCATTGGGTCTTTTTCTCCATCTTTAAAATCAACAAATGTCTTAACATATTACTTGGTAGAATATGAAGTGCATAAACTATCCCAGGTTTGAAACTTTATGGATTTGTTGCAAAGTATTTTTTTTTCTGTTCTCCAAGCCCAAGTCTCTCAGTTCCCTGGTGATTCCATACACTACCCCATAGCCGTTTTTCAATTTAGCTCATCAGAGTTCAGTCCTGTTGCTTAAAGGAGGCATAAAGATTTCCCACCAAAAGTACATAGTGTTTCACAGGGTGGGGTGGTGGTTGCTCTCTGTACTGTGTACTGGATCTTGTCCTTAGGCTCTCTCTCTTTTGGTGTCACTAATAGGTAAGTGGAGAATCTGGCCCTTCCAAAAGTCAAGAAACATTGCCTTTTGAGCTACCAGTCCTAAGATACTTGCTGTCAGCTTTCCTCCCTCGTCCTATTACTATGAAAGCTCTTTTGCTGAAGACTGTGTCTATCAACACTGCAGATTTGCTGGTTGGGGACGTAGCTTCACTTTGGTGAAGTGCACCAAATTCTTGTTTATGGTATTAAGTTTTTTGGCTCAGTGAGTGAATGTCAGTTTACATCAACCCAAGGGTACAATCCTCCCCCAAGTGAAGCCCTTGTCCTGTGCATCACTGCTCTGAGCCCAAAATGGGACCTCACAGAGGGCAGATCATCTCATCAAACTCAGTTCAGAATCTGGCTCTTTCAGTTGTAATATTTTAGAAGGAAAGGGCACAGAGATTGAAAAGTAACAGCTTTATTTATGACTGAAGATGTTAAGGCATTTATAAAATGCCAAGGAAAACTAGTTCCTGTTCATTTAAAAAAAAAGCTCAGCACCTCTGAGGCCTATACTTTCACCATGTAAATGAGAGAGTACCTTTTTTGAATAGACTATCTTTCACACTAAGTTTTGTTTTTTCAGCATCCCAGATTTGTCCAATTGGGCCCTGACTTACTATACTTATCAAGTTTGTTCACTTGTTGAGTTCGTTGGGCTGCCTGTGCTAGCCACAGCTTCACCTTAGTGCTCCTTCAGGTAGGGGTATGCACAGTACACATCTATTGAAGTCATTTAGTGTTATGTTCTTCCTTCAACTAATAATAGCAGCCAGAAAATGAGTGAGGGGTAGCATTAGGGAATTAGCAAATTAAAGCCTTAAATCTAAGGCAGATAATTCCATTTTCCTCAACTGAAATAACAGGTTAGATAATGCTTTTTATGAAAGAGAATGTGTGTTTTATGTACAAAGGACACAATGCTTAACTAATTTTATTTTATATATAAGAATAGAAATGGATTTAGGGAAAACTTCCAAGCTTTTCTCCAAATGATTGACATAACAACAACAAAAGAGGAGGTATGGGCACAAATAGCCCTTAGAATTTCAACAGAACAGGAAGACGTTTATTTCCATAAAATCTTGGAGACGAACCCCAGGGATGATCTGTCCTCAGTGAAGAGCTGATTTTTCCTGAACTTATACTGACAACAAGCAGATCACCAAAAGTTGACTGTTAATAGAAAAGAAGGTGGCTGCTTGTATTCTAAGGCTTCTGATAGCAGCAGCTCCACAGTGATCAAAAGTATTGTACACAGTACAGCTCACCAACATGGATCCAAGATAGTGCATGTTTTGGAATATATCCAGGGGAAGTACTTATTGAGTAAAAAATTCATGACAATAGAGACCACCATAACATAGGGAAGATGACTGTCCCTATACAAAGGGTTCACAATCTTAATTGGCCCTGTAAGATAGCGAATAGTGTCAGAATAATATTGTAAACAAACAAATATAAAACAAAACAAAATGCAGTATAATATATAATTAATGAAGTTTGTTCTTTTAGGTAAGAGTTTCAGAAAACCCAGGGATGGATTTTATATCACAAAATGATCCATATCGTCCAAAAATGTCTTTTGATTGGACAGAAAATAATATTTGTTGGAAGCTAAAAATTGTGATAAAGTACAGGCCATTGGGAGTGGTAAAGCTTTAATTTCTCCAATTTTCTTCCAAATCAACTTATTAGTAGGGTTCTCATGGCACAGGAAAAGGTGGTAGCTTTCCACTGGAGCACACTTGGGATTGATTTTGGTGATGTTCCAAGTCAGGGCAATGCCCTTGGGTCTCAGCACCCGTTTCACTTTGAGCTCAGGCTTCTGGGGAGGCAGTGTGTCTTGAATTTTTTCTATCAGTTCAGGCAGTAGGGGTGGTGGTGCTGGGAGAGGTGGCAGATGCTCAAAAGACTCAAGAACCTAAAACAGATTTATAAAAAGTTTAGTGAGCTGAATTGGTGGGCTCTAATTATTTTAAAGTAGTCAACTGCAGTTCTACAATATATTGTTTCCTCAATCCATTTATCAAAATCATACTGGGTTGGCTAAAAAGCTTGTTTAGTTTTTTCTGTAAGATGGCTCTAAGTAGCGCTTAGTTATCTTTAACTTTGTTTGAAACAGTTTTGTTAGATTGTATTGTGACAGCTGTCATATCAGTATACATTAAAAATAAAACATTATCAAAACTGGTGAATTTTTGTGTAGCCATTTTAATATTGAGGATGGAAGAAAATACACAACATTTTTGGCATATTATGCTTTATTACTTCAATAAAGGGAAAAATGCAACTGAAATACAAAAAAAGATTTGTGCAGTGTATGGAGAAAGTGCTGTGACTGATCAAACGTGTCACAAGTGGTTTGCAAAGTTTCATGTTAGAGATTTCTCACTGGACGGTGCTCCACGGTTGGGTAGACCAGTTAAAGATGACAATGATCAAATCAAGACATTACTTGAAAGCAATCAACATTATACCATGCAGGAGATAGTCGATATACTTAAAATATCCACATCGATAAAGTGTTTGGTGAAGATGAAAAATGTGTCTTGTCTTTTATAGAAAAAACTAAAAGGACTTTATAGCCAACCCAATAAGAACAAAGGGATGTTTCAAGAATATGTAAGGCAGAACCCTGTCTTTTCAAGCTTAGGCTTCTTTTGGAGTTAAGCAGCCTAATTTCTACATTCTGGAATATCACTAATCCATAATGGGTTAGGGCCCAGACATTCTGGATAATATTCTATCTTCTATCTCATTTCTAAACTGTGTTCCCCAAAACTGTGCTAATTTACATGAAAAGTGAACGCCCATTTCCCTCCATTTCATCAAAATGGCTGTTACTACTCAAAATCTTTTCCAATTTGTTGAGTAAAAAATTGTATTTATTTTAATTTCTGTAGCTTCTGGAAAATTCAATTAAGTTTTTTTAATTGTTTAAGTAGACTCACAATAGCAATTTCAAAAACACATTAAAGTGCTTTTTAAGCTAAAATGTAACCCAAGTATTTCTTCATGAGTAAAAAGGGCACTTCCATTTCCACTCAATTTAGAATGACTAATCCTTACAGGGCATTTCCTATCAGTACCTGGGCTGCATTTTGTGTCACTGGGGTTGTCTCTTTTGAGATTGAAACAGATTTCATAGATGACTCCAGTATGGATACTGGATTTTCTGTAAAGAAATAAGGTTCAAGAAGTTCAATTTATCTGCAATAATCAATCCCTTAGCCTTTTAGCAAAGAATAGTTTATACTGTGTGTGCTAATTAAATGTGAACTAAAATTATAAAGCTGTGAAGATAAACTTTTGATAGAAGTTCAAGATACAGAGTTAGCAAATATAGAGAATTTTCCTTTAATGTGATCAATTCCCTACTTAAGGTAAACACTTAAGTCATTGTGTAACTTGGAACCAGGAAAAGTTACACATGGGAGAGGGCTCTCTCTGCTCAGTGGTCTTAGAGGTGGATTCTGCTCTGTAGGCCAATAAGGATATCTGCAAACACAGAGCTATTTACAGTCCTGTTTAAATATGTGACACACACAGTCCTGGGAATTTAAGCTAAAAATCATGCAGGCTGGGGTTGAAGGACTCTCTGCTGTTGAGGTGTATGTTAGTCTTGAGGGAATTAGATTGATGGAAATTGTGGACAGGGGAAGAAAGAGGACAGAAGGGACAGTGGAAGAGAGATGGTGAGAGGAAGAAAGAAAAGGGGGAAAATGTGTGTTTGAGGAAGAGAAAGAGAGTTTAGTAGGTGCAAGAATGGTCTGAGCCCTAGTTGGTGTGGTTCTATGGATTGAGTGCGAGCCTGCAAACCAAAGGGTCTCCAGTTCGATTCCCAGTCAGGGCTCATGCCTGGATCATAGGACAGGTCCCCAGTAGGGGCTGTGCGAGAGTCAACCACACATTGATGTTTCCCTCTTTCTCCCTCCCTTCCCCTCTCTCTAAAAGTAAATAAATTAATTAATTAATAAAATATTTTTTTTAAGAATGGTTTGAAAACAACTAGGGAGAGTATATATGGGGATGGTAAGTAAAGGGGCTTCATGTTGGAGAGGTGTAGGGCTGGATAGAATGCTAATTTCTAACCATTTCAAAAATTTGAACATTTCTAATAAGCAATAAAACCATTTTAGATCAATTGTGACTGCAGGGATATAACTGTTTAATATTCTTTATGAATCTCTCCAAATGAAATATTTTATTTGTATTTTTCTTTTGACAGACAAGGATAATTAAGAGTCCACATTGTGATTCAAATTTAATTTATTAACCACATTATTTACTGGTGTTAAAAAATCTTTTTGGAAGAGGTAGTGACTATAATTATAAGAGTCTGTACAGCCTTTTTAAACTGCTTTAATTAATTAGAACTAGATTTTTGAAATCATAATCTGTAGGTTAAACGTCACAAAAGAGCTGACACAAATAACTTAAAATTTCAAGTGTACAGTTTCATACAAAAAAGTCTAACAAATATGACTTTCCATAACATTCCTTCTATCAACAGTTTGTAGAAATAAAGCTAGAGAAGTTTTCAGGGTCTGAGTCATTAATGATTTGTATATTTTATTATTAGGAGTTTAGATGTTTATACTAAAGATAAAAACATTAACTAGACATATATAAGAAATAATATTTTAGTGGCAGCTTGGAAGATTCATTAAAAACAGTAAGTTAGGGCAAAAATATTAGTTCATAAGTTATGGCAATATAGGAGGCTAAAGGTGCTAAAATTCTGAAATAAGGAGACAGAACCAATAGGCTTGAAAACTGACTAGATAGTGGAATGAGGCAGTTTTAAGAGTCAAAAGTGACTCCTTCACTTCTGGCTTGGGAAACTGGGTGAGTTGCTGAAAATATTCATCAAGACTGGGAACATGGGAAATGGTTCAAGTGTGATGTGACTCTTAATCAGAACTGGACACTCTGTAAGATAGACTCACAACTCCATGAGTTAGCATCATGAATTAGCATGATTTATCTTTCCAAACTGAAGTCCCCAAATAAAAGGGATGACTTACTTTATTAAGCAAATTAATCTGCATTCTTACTTTTTATTTTACTCTATCTCAGATCCTATACCATGTAGTTTAGAAACAATTGAGTAATAATTAAAAAGTAACTGATTCTGGTCAACCTGGTGACACAGGCAGACACAGCTCCCTCTTTGCACCACCATATCAATATTACAACTAAAATATAGAATAACCATCAATCAGGAATGTCAGAAATTGAGTTGAATGAAAGTCCAACAACTATGGAACTGAAGAAATAACATCCATTCAGACTGGTGGGAGGAGCATGGATGCAGAATGGGCTAGCCCCACACCCACATGGATAAACATTCAGGAGGGATATCTTGGGAGCGAGGAGTCCCAGACTCACACCAGGCCCCCAAGCCCAGGATTCTAATGCCAGGAAGATAAGTACCCACAACTTCTGGCTGAGAAAACCAGTGGGACTGTCGATGGAGGAGGCTGCTGGAACCCTAAGCAGTTCCTCCTGGGGAACCCGCAAATGGACTCACCTACTTAGACTTGTTCCCTCTGAGCTCCATTACCAAGGTGGCAGCTTGAAGGGCACCAGTAGTAGACTGGGAAAGGCTAAAGTGTTTGGCATAAAGGTCACTGTCCCTTTGCTGAGCCCTCCCCGCACAGAGCTGGTAGGCTAGTGCCATACATATCTGAGACTCCGTCACCCTGGCTAACACTGGGTGACCCACCTTGGAGATCCACAGAAGCTCTACCCTACCCAACTTATGGGTGCACCCAAGTTGCTTTTCCATAGGAATAGCTGGTCTTGGCTCCTAAATCTTATCAAACAAGCAACACTGGTTTCAGTAAACCTTAAAGGCACCCAGCCTAGATTTACAGCTTGGCTTCACCTGGGAATCTCCAAGCTCAGCACAAAAAGCAGCCATCCCAAATTACTTTACAGGGTGCACTGGGCAAAACACAGGTTGGGGCTGACCATGGGCTGCACAACTCGGGAACCCCCAGAGCCTGCGCACCCAGTGGACAGCTACAGACTATGTTGGAGTACCAGTACCCTGCCCCTGAACAGCTGATCCTCCATGGAGGGTAGAGGGAGGTGGTCAGTGGTTACAGCCAGTCCTTGTAGCTGAATTGCCTGGGTAAATCCCTTCTATTGATCTGCCAACAGCAATTGAGGCTCAACTACAAGAGGGTGTACTCAGCCCACAAAAAGGGTACACTCTGAGTACCCAACTCTGGTGATAGGGGAGGCTGTGCCACTGGACCTTACCAGGACACCTACTACATTAGGCCACATTACTAAGATATGGAGGCAAAGCAGCTCTATCTAATACACAGAAACAAACACAGGGAGGCTGCCAACTGAGGAGACAAAGACCCATCAAAAAGAACAAGTCAGAAACAAACAATATATTAATTGTGCCCTAGCTGGTGTGGCTCAGTGTTTTGAGTGCTGGCCTACAAACAAAAGGGTCGCTGGTTTGATTCCCAGTCAGGGCACATGCCTGGGTTGCAGGCCAGGTCCCCAGTCGGTATGGGGCATGTGAGAGGCAACCACACATTAATGTTTCTCTCCCTGTCTTTCTCTCTCCCTTCCCCTCTAAAAAGAAATAAATAAAATCTTTTAAATAAAAGAAATGAAGGATACACTCATTGAAATAATGAGCAATTTACATGGAAACAATAGTAGCTGAGTATCAAATCAATTATTTGGAACATAAGCAACAAAAAAACAACCATGGAGAACAAGAAGAAAACAGAATCCCCCCCAAATGAGGATAGTATAAACAGCCTCTGGGACAACTATAAGAGATCCAACATTCACCCCAATAGGGTGCCAGAAGGAGAAGAGAAAGAGCTAGAGATTGGAAATCGATCTAAAAAAATAGTGAAAGACAACTTCCCTAATTTGGTGAAAGAAATAGACATGCAAATCCAGGAAGTGCTGAGAATCTCAATTATGATGGATGCAAAGAGGTCCACTCCAGGACACATCATAATTAAATTGCCAAAGGTTAAAGACAGCAAGAGACTCTTAGAAGCAAAAGAAAAGAACTTAGTTACTGGAAGGTTGCCAGATGGGAGTGGAGAGGGGCAGAATGGATTAAGAGTTAAGGGGATTAAGTATAAATAGGTAGTTACAGAATAGCCACGGGGATGTGAAATACAGTATAGGAAATGGAGTAGCCACAGAACTTATATGCATGACCCATGGACATGAACAATGGTGGGGGGATAATTGCCTGAGGGAGTGGGGGGTACAATGGGGGAAAAACCAGGATAACTGTAATAGCATAATCAACAGAATATAATTTTTAAAAAGCAACTGATAACCTCATAATGGACTCCAATTCATTTTCCTTTTTAATTATAATTTATTGATTATGCTATTACAGTGTTTCCAATGTTTCCCCTTTTGCCCCCCTCCAATCCAGCACTGCCCACACCACTGTTCATGTCTATGGGTCATGCATATAAGTTCTTTAGCTACTCTATTTCCTACACTGTACTTTACATCCCCATGGCTATTCTGTAACTACCTATTCATACTTCTTAATCCCCTCACCTCTTCACCCATTCTCCCACACCCCACCTCCCATCTGTTCTTCATATCCATGATTCTGTGTCAGTTCCTGTTGTTTGCTTAGTTTGTTTTTTAGATTTAATTGTTCACAGATTTGTAATTTTTCCCACTTTTATTGTTCATAGTTTTGATCTTTTTCTTAAATAAGTCCCTTTAACATTTCATATAATAATGGTTTGGTGATGATGAACCCTTTAGTTTTTTCTTGTCTGGTGAGCTCTTTATCTGCCTTAATTCTAAATGGTACTTTTTTTGAGATACAGCAATCTCGACTGTAGGACCCTGCTTTTCATGACTTGGAGTATTTCTTGCCAATCCTTTCTAGCCTATAAAGTTTCTTTTGAGATATCAGCTGACAGTCTAATGGGAATTCCACTGTATGTAACTAACTGTTTTTCTCTCCTTTTCTCTGCTTTTAAGATTCTCTCTTTACCTTTAACCTTTGGTAATTTAATTACAATTGTCTTGGAGTGGGTCTCTTTGCATCCATCTTTTTACTTGCATGTCTACTTCCTTCAACATTTTAAGCAAGTTTTCTTTTACTACTTTTTCAAATAGATTTCCAATCTCTCTTGCTCTTTCTCTTCTCCTTCTACAACCCCTATGATGGGAATGTTGGACCTCTTAAAAGTTGTCCCAGAGGTTGTTTATACTATCCTCATTTTAGGGGGTTCTTTTTTCTTCTTGTTGTTCTGCATGGTTGTTGTTGTTTTTTTGTTCCTTATGTTCTAAATCAAGGCTTTGATTTTTGGCTTCACTCACTCTACTGTGTTTCACTGTAAATTGTTCATTATTTCAATTAGTGAATCCTTTGTTTCTGATTGGATCTTTTTTTTATGCTGTTGAGGTCCTCACTAAGTTCCTCGAGCATCCTTATAAACAGTGTTTTGAACTCTGCATCTGATAGATTGTTTGTCTGCATTTTGTTTGGCTCTTTTTCTGGAGTTTTGATCTTTCTTTCATTTGGGCCATGTTTCTTTGTCTCTTCATTTGGGCAGCCTCCCTCTGTGTTTTTCTACGTATTCAGTATAGCTCCTATGACTCTGTGTCTTGGTAGAATGGCTTAGCATAGTAGGTGTCCTGTAGGGTGCAGTGGCACAACCTCTCCTATCACCCAAGCTGAGTACTTGAAGTGTGCCCTTTGTGTGGGCTGAGTACACCCACCTCTTGTAGTTGAGCCTTGACTGCTCTTGACAGATCAATGGAAGGGATTTACCCAGGCTAGTCAGCTCCAAGGATTGGCTATGACCACTGACCACCAACCTCTATACTCCATGGATAATCACCTATGTGTGGGCAGGGTAGTGGTACTCTGATGTAGTCTGTAGCTGTCCACTGGGTGTGCTGGCCCTGAGGTTATCCAGGTGGTACAGGCCAAGGTCAGCCGCAATCTGTTTTCTGCCTGGAGCCACCCTGCATGAGCTATACAGCAATCTGGGATGGCTGCTACTTGTGATGGGCTTGGAGATTCCCAGGTGAAGCCAAGCTGTGAATCCAGGCTGGCTGTTGCTAGTGCCAGGCCTGTGGCCTCTTAGCAAGTGGTATGGACATTGGGGTGTTACTGAGGCTGGCTGTTGCTTGTCTGAGAGCATTTAGGAAGATGTGAAGCATGAGCCAAAACCAGCCATTCATACAGAAAAGTCACGGTTAACAGTTTGGGTAGGCCCATAAGTTTTGTGGGATGGAATCTCAGGGGATCTCCAGGGTGGGGCAAATAGTGTTAGCCAGGTTGATGGAGTCTCAGATACAAGACCTGCCTGTTGGCTCTGTAGCTTTGTTGGCGGAGGGCTCAGAAAAGGGACAGTGTATCTGCCCACATTTGTCCAGGAGAGAGCTGTCTCCTCACTCCCACTTTTAAACCAGATGCTTCACTTCCTCCCTGTATGCCACTGGTGCCTTTCAAGCTGCTATGGAGGTGCTGGAGCTCAAAGGGAGTGAGTTTGAGTAAGTTCATTTGTGGATTCTTCAAGGGGAACTGCTTGGGACTCCAGCAGAAGTTTCTTCCACTGACTCAATCCCTGCTGGTTTTTGCAGTGAAAAATTATGGGGACTTATCTTCCTGGCACTGGAACCCTGGGCTGGGTGGCCTGCTGTAGGGCTGGGACTCCTCAATCCTGAGATATTCCTCCTGAATTTTTATCCACCACACATGAATGTGGGACCAGCCTGTTCTACATCTCTACCCCTTGATGGATGTGGTTTAATTCCATAATTGTCAGACTTCTGTTCAACATTTATGAAATAATAAAAATTTATTTATTAAAAATAAACAATAAAATAAAATCTGAAAAATTTCCCGTTTTAAATTTTTTTTTCAGATTTTATTTATTTATTTTTAGAGAGAAGGGAAGGGGGAGAGAAAGAGAGGGAGGGAAACATCAATGTGTGCTTGTCCCTCATGTGCCCCCTACTGGGGACCTGGCCTGGCCTGTAACCTAGGCATGTGCCCTGACTGGGATTTGAACCAGCAACTTTTGGCTTCACAGTCTGGTGCTCAATCCACTGAGCTACACCAGCCAGGGCTCAACTCAATTTCTGATGGTTGTTTTAGTTGTAATTTCAATGTGGTTATGTGAGGAGGTGAGCTGTGTTCACCTATGCAGCCATCTTGACAAGAAGATTCTCCAATTCATTTTTTAAATCTTCATTTTTAAACCAGAAATTGAAGGGTTTTAAAATCTATCATGAGATGCCTGGAGATTCTAATGGTTCCAACTTTTGTTGGATTCACAGTTGAAAAAAGAAAAGGAACTGAACCGTATACTCCCTATATTAACTTCCATTTTAAAAAAATTACATAATTTACTCATGCTAATAAGTAGAATTCAAACATTTCATGAAAAAGTACCATAAACATTCAAGTATTGTTGTAAAGAGATGAAACTGTGTAATTGATTACCAGCCTCCAAAGTCTGTACTTTATTTCTTCTTGTTTAAATCTGAGAAATAGGCACTGCTGTCACTCCCTCTACACTTCCATGATATGCCTGTGAACCCCAAGAAGGAATTCATCTACTGAGAGGGACTCAGATTCCCTCCCTACAATAAAGTGGTCCTAACTTCAAAATTAAAAATCTAGATGTTTACTGACAGGGCCCTCCAAGAACCACAAGCTGAACTCTTGGTTTCCCCTGTGTGTTTACGCTGCTGCCTGAGTCAGTCACTGCCGAGAAGTTCTTTGTTCAGTTATTGCCAAGTTACCATCCAACCAATAGTCTATGGCCTGCCCCAACCAATCAGAACTGTACAAAATCTACCCTTATTTAAATATATACTATCCCCACAGGGGTGCCTGGGGTGGGAGGAAAAGGCAGATAACTGTACTTGAACAACAATAAAATACAAAAGATGCAAACAAAAAAAAACCCAAAAGGTATACCGAACAATCTAAATTGTAAATTTGGAAACCTCATTTACATGAAGCAGATTAAAATGGGAACTATGGATTGGAAATTTTCCACAAAAAAAAAAAATGGCCTCTTCTTTATCTCAGGAGAGCACACTTTGTTTGTAATCAAGGCCTTGTTTTCCAGGTTTGCAAACTGTTATTTGAATAAAGTCTCTCCTTTTTTCTCCAGTGCCTTTTGTTGGATTTATTTACATGCTGTAGCGTAGTCTCACAACTGCCATTGTTATGATTAAGGAAATAAACTTGTGTGTCATAGGTAAAAAAAAAAAAAAGATATTCATAATAGCCTTAAACAACCTAGATATCTTTCAATGAGCGAATGGATAAACTATGATGCATAAACAGTTGTACATGCATATCATGGAATACTACTCAGCAACAGAAAATAACACTACTAATACACCCAACAACTTAAATGACCCTCACAGGGAATTATGCTAAGTGAAAGAAGCCAATCTCAGAAGGATACACACTATATCATCACATTTATATCAAATCATCAAATAACATAATTATAAAGGTGAAAACAGATTCATGGTCGTCCTGGTTAAGGGACTGAGGGCAGAAAATAGGTGTGCCTATAAAATGGTAAGCATGAGGGAATCCTATAGTGAGAGCACAGTTGTGTAATTTGATTGTGCTGACAAATAAATGAGTCTATACATGTGACTAAATTGCATAGAGCTATAAAAGACACGCACACAAAAACAAACTTAACAAACAAGCCAAACACATTTTGAGTTGTTATTCTTCCCTCTTTAAAAGACAAACCCTTTACCTGTGTTGCAGTTTGATAGGCCTTCTTTTGTCAGATCAATCACAGAACCAAATTTCTTTTTCTCTATAGCCTGAAAAGTTAGATTAAAAAAATTAGATTTTTGCCTCAATAATAAAAATGGTTTTAAAAAATAAAATTCATCATTTTAAACTACTATACAGAAGCTAGAGACTGAACATTTTTTAAGTTTTTATGGTTTAACTTAACTCTCCTGTGACAAAGAAACTCATGAAATACTGTATAGTTTCTGAGAATATGACTAGGCAGAATCCAAATAAATTAATTTGGTATGCATGACTTTAAAATATGTTTATCATTAGCTGTTTGCTTTTTAAATGTTTAAGCTAGACTGGAACCTGGTTATACCAACTAGTCAGACATAAATATCTCAGAGAACAAATCTCTCAAAGAATGAATAACAAAGCTAAACCATCCAACATGCAGCAAACTAAAGTTCCTAGAACTAACATATTCAAATAAACAACATTTCAAGGACAGTATGTATTACCTACCATAATAACTTCAGTATCAGCATTAGGTAAATTATTAGAATTTCCTGATGTAACTTTTCCAGAACCTGAAAGAAAATTATTAAAATGTGATCATTTGACAAGTTCATTAAAATATTAAATATTTATGGACTTCATTATATATGAATACCGAAACACAATAATGGAGTGCTAATTATCAATTTATTATACAATCATAAAATGTAACTCAATTGACTTTATTCTGAAGACTGATGAGCAAGTACAAAAAAAAATCCAATTTTGCTTCAAAAGATGTTATCCTTCTGTAACTTTACAACTGTATTAGTAACTCTTGAAAAGAGTCAAATCCTAATAAATAGGATTTGAGAAATAAACTTGGAAATGTACATATTTTCTATTCAATATCTTTGGATTAGGCTATCTGAGATGGCTAAGCATTCTTCATAGAACCACTAAGAAAGCCTCAGATAAATGTTTACTGTTCCTTAAGCTATTTTATTCACAATCTTTAAAAATTATTTTTCTTTTATTGATTCCAAAGAGAGGGGAAGAAACAGAAAAAGAGAGGGAAAGAAATACTGATGTGAGAGAGAAACATCAATCAGTTGCCTCTTCCATGTGCCCCAACCAGCTATTGAACCCACAACCTGGGCATGTACCCTAATTGGAAATGGAATCCACAGCCTTTCCGTTTGTGGGATAACACTCAACCAACTAAGCCACACAAGCCACGGCTTTATTCATAATCTTAACTGCCCATACCAAAGGGACAATTAAGTAGCTATATAAGCACAGGCAAAAATTTCTGAAATTAAGATGCAAATACTCTAATATATCACAAAAAAATGAAAAGAAAATGGAGAACTTTGAATGAGAAATTATGGGCCAACAAGAGTTTTTGATGAGTAGGAGCGCCTTCTTTCTTTCTGCTGCATAGTATTCCGTTGTGTAAATGTACCATAATTTTTGATACATTCATTTACTGATGGGCACTTAGGTTGCTTCCAACATTTGGCTATCGTAAATTGTGCTGCTATGAACATTGGGGTGCACAGGTTCTTTTGAATTGGTATTTCAGGATTCTTAGGGTGTAATTCCAGCAGTGGAATTGCCGGGTCAAAAGGCAGATCCATTTTTAGTTTTTTCAGGAAATTCCATACTGTTTCCCACATTGGCTGCAGCAGTGTGCATTCCCACCAACAGTGCACTAGGGTTCCCCTTTCTCCACAACCTCTCTAGCACTTGTTTGTTGATTTGGTTATGATGGCCATTATGACTGGTGTGAAGTGATATGTCATGGATGGAGCTGGAGAGTAGTATGCTAAGTGAAATAAGCCAGGTGGTGAAAGACAAATACCATATGATCTCACCTATAAGTGGAACCGGATTAACAAAACAAACAAGCTAGCAAAATATAAACAGACACTGAAATAAAGAATAGACTGACGGTAACCAGAGGGGAGTGGGGAGGGGGATAATGAGGGAAAGAAGGGGAAAGGTCATCAAGGAACATGTATAAAGGACCCATGGACACAGCCAAAGGGAGGTAGGACTGAGGGTGGGGAGTGGGAGATGGGGGTGGGTAGGGTGTGGGGGAGGGGATGGGGGAAAATGGAGACAACTGTATTTGAAAAACAATAAAATAAATAAAAAATAAAAAGTTATTTTGAGAGGAAACTTACTGGAAATTTAAGGTTAAAGATTTTTTACATAGGTGTAACAATAAGTGTAACTGTAAAGAGCAACAACAGTATTATAAAAACACCCAAAATTAAAAAAGTAATTAAAGATACTGAGGAATGGCCAAACTGCAAACCTTAGGTAGACTATAAGATAACTTTAATAGTCAAGACAAAAAACAAACCACCAACACAGGCTAGAGCAAACAAGTAAAAATAATGTATATAAAAGGTAAGTAGTTTTGCCCTGGCTGGTGTAGCTCAGTGGATTGAACGCGGGCTGCGAACCGAAGTGTCGCAGGTTCGATTCCCAGCCAGGGTACATTCCTGGGTTGCAGGCCATAACCCCCAGCAACCACACATTGATGTTTCTCTCTCTCTATCTCTCTCTATCTCCCTCTCTTCTCTCTCTCTCTCTAAAATAAATAAATAAATAAATAAAAACTTAAAAAAATAGTTTAAAAAAAAAGGTAAATAGTTTTATAACTTACAAAGCCATTAAACAAACAGTACAGAAAGAAAAGGCCATAAATTGATAAATACAAGTTTAAAAAGAAACCCCAATTATATTAAGAGGTCACTTATTTACTTAAGTAATATAAATCAAATATAACTTAAAATATTTTTGAGAGAAATTTTATTTTATTGAAAGATAATATTCAATTATCTAAACAAATGCTGATTTGAAGCTCTCTAATTTGATAGACTCTATTTTAATCAATTTAAGATACCTGTTAGATTTGATGTAACTGGTGTTGTCAAACTAGGGCTTTCCACAGAAATCAACATAACATCATCATTACTAAAATGACAAAAAAATTAAAAATGAAAATGAACTAAACATACATTATTAGGCTTAAACATACAATCAATGGTTACAATTCTTTTAACATAACCTTTTACAACTGATCATCATAATCTCATAATCGTGTGTGGGGGTATGGGAGTGATAAAACCAAATACCCAAGAAACCCATGTATTACCAATTAATTATATGACCAAAAGTTCATGGACATCCAATAATAATGGATCTTGAAAACTCTGTAGAAATCCACTTACAATGAGTCCAAATACATCATCTATAAGTAGACAATATACATAGTGTTGAAAGTATAAAGTCACTGTAGCACATATACTTGCCTTCATGAAAATGAACCAACATTTAAGTGAATAAAAACTTATTAAGATACTCTGACTTACAGATATAGGACTGTAACAAAGCTATTAAAAATTAATTCTGCAACTACATTTTATCACTATGGTAGCAATATTTACCACAATTTACTAAACTGAGGCATTGATGGTAAATGATGCTTATAGTTACAGAATATCCTGAGTCAGAAGACTAATCTTCTGTTTCCATTTGATGCTGATACCAATTCTATGAGCTGACATTTAAATCAGTATTTTTTGTTAAGAAGAACTTGACACAAATTTCATTAAGCCCATAAAATTGCTAGATGAATTTTCCATACCACTTCCTTACAGATGTTTTTAGTTTTTAGTTTTTGTACTTAAATCTGTAATTCATTTCAAGCTATTTTTGTACATGGTGTGAGGTTAAGAGTTGAGTTTCACTTTTCCCCTCTGGTTAATTAATTCAACATTTGTTGGAAAGACTACCTTTTCATTATTAAATTACTTTGGCATCTTTCTTGAAAACCAGTGAGCTATATGTATACTTTCTAAGCTGTCCATTGATTTATATGTCTATTCTTATGTTGTCTTAATTACTATAGCTTGAAAGTAAGTCTTAAAACTCAAGTAGTTTATATCTTCCAATTTTGTTTTTCTTTCATAACACTGTTTTCATTTTCTAGGTCTTTTCCATTTCACTTAAGTTTTCAATCAGATTGTTAGTTTCTATAAAAAATGCTGCCAGGATTTTGACTGAGATTGCATTAAATGTACAGAACAATGCAGGAAACGTGACATTAATACTTAATTTTAATTTGTGAATATGGCATATCTCTGTACATTTAGGATCTTTACCTTCTCTCAGCAAAATTTTGTACTTTAAAAGAAGTAATACTTTAGAGCAGTTTTAGGTTTATAAATCTGGTGGAAAGTACAGCAAGTTCCCTATACCCTGTTCCCTACTCTCTTTCCACCACCCCAAGTATCAAAATCCTGTACCAAAATGGTACGCTTGTTACAACAGATGAATCTACACTGACACATTATCACCCAAAGTCCATAGTTTACAGGAAGGTTCACTCTTAATGTGCATGCTATGGGTTCTGACAAATGTATAATGACATGCAACCACCATTATGGTACCATATGGGATAGTTTCTCTGCCCTAAAGAATCCCATGATCTGCCTATTCATTTCTCTCTAGTAAAGGCATTACTGGAAACAATTGATCTTTGTATTGTCTGTTACTTTTGTCTTTTCTAGAGGGTTTTATGCTGGAATTATACAGCATATAACCTTTTAAAATTGTCTTCTTTCACTTCGTAATATACATTTGTTTCCTCCATGTCTTTTCAAAGCTTGATAGCTCATTTTTCTTTCTTTTTTTAAGCAGTGTTAATATTCCATTGTCTGAACGTACCACAGGTTATATATCAATTCACCTACTTAAGGACATCTTGGTTTCTTCTAAGTTTTGGCAATTATGAATAAAATTTTATGAATAAAGTTTTGTATGATTCCACTTTCCTTTTTTAACATATCAATTATACTTCTTTTGCTGGTGATTGCTTAGAATTTGTGATCCACATATACAACTAATTCAAGTCCACTTTCATGCATAACATTATACTACTTTAGAAACAGACCTTTGGTAATGTAGTGGTAAGGTGGGGGTGGAAGAGAAGCATTCTATTAGTCCTATAATTAGGTCTCAGTCTTCTAGTTAGTCTATGTCCCTGGAATGTGAACTTCACTAGTACTTCTCAGTACCCTTCCTTCCCAGCCCCCTCTTAAGTCCGACAGTTTGGCTACAGGGGCTTAGAGTTGGGTATTTTCCTTCCTCCATGTGGAAAGCTACAGGGAGCAGGAGTTGGGTATCTCCTTTCCCTTAGGTGGGTTAAGTTCTGACAAGAGTGTCTCCCAAGGGCAGCCTTGTTAAGAGACAGCTCTGCTGGTGTATTTCAGAAGGTTCCTTTTACCTTCCTCCTACTGGAAACATGAGATTTCCTTCCAATATTCACTGTGAGGCCCTGGCAGAGCTTCTGGAGGTAAAACTCACAAAACTGTGGGTGTCCCCCATAACTGTCTCCCCATCCCCAGAGTTTTAGATTTTTATATCTCCACACTGGTTCTCATGGACATTTCTGCTTGTAGGTTTCTGTTTCAATTCCAGTAGGTTGTGATTCTCAGTTTCTGATCCCCCTGTTTGTCTCTCCAACTTTTGGGTCAGTAGTTTGCTCTGTGACCCTACTTCTCTGATGGAGCTAAGAAGAGTTGGTGATATTTTCAGTTCGTTCAGCTTTTTAATTGTTGTTTGAATAGTTATGACTCCTTACATGCTGGACCGGAAATCTGAAGCCTACTTTGTAGTTTTGAAGTTAGGTCTTACAGATATTTTGGCAACTTTATCCCTATGTATATAATTCTTTTATATTATATTGCTAATGGTACCAATTTTAAATATGAAATTCCAACTGCTTATTGCCTGTACATAGAAATACCAGAGAAACAGTACAATACATACAAACACTACATATTATAGAGGTAGTATAATACACACATACACATCTATATATAAACAGAAAATTTTATATTCATCCACAAACATTTAATTTCCAGCACTTTCATTACTTTACCTGTATAGATCTAAATTTCCATTTGGTATAATTTTCCTTCTGCCTGAAGAACTCCCTTTAACATTTCATTTAAAATATATTTTTTAAAATTTTATTTATTTTTAGAATGGAAAGAAGGGAGAAAGTGACAAGAGAAACATTGATGTGAGAGATGAGAAACATCAATTGGTTGCCTCTTGCATGCCCCCTCCCCCACCCTCAACTGTTGCCCTAACCAGGAATTGAACTAGGACCTTTTGGTTTGGAAGCTGATGCTCATTCACTGAGCCACACCAGCTATAGCTTCTTTAACACTTCTTATAGTGCAAGTCTGCTGGTGATGTATTCTTTTCACTTTCTTTTTAGTGTGAAAAATCCTTTGTTCCTCTACATGTCTATAGAGGAACAAATATATTTTCACCACATGTAAAAATTTGAACAGTTTTCTTTCAATGCTTTAGAGATATCTTCTAGTTTACATAGTTTGCAGTTGAGGTTTTCTGATGTTCTTATTTTTTTTTAATCCTTTCTACGTAATGTGTCTTTTCTCTCTGGCTGCTTTTAAGATTTTCTGTTACTACTGACTTTCAGCAATATGATTATGATGTGGTTTTTCTTTACACTTTTTCTGCTTAAATTTGTTAATTTCTTTTTATATTTATGGATTTAGAATTTTCACCAAATTTGGAAAAATTTTAAGACATTATATTTTTCTGATCCAATCGCCCCCTGCCTAGTGATACTCCAATTTTATATATATATACACACATATATATGGAATATATATATGGAATATATATATATAAAAATATGGAATATATATATATATATGACTGTTTGATAGTGTTTCATAGTTCTCTGATGCTGTGGTCATTTTTTGGGTAGTCTTTCTCTCCTCATGCTTTTGTTTGAATAGTTTCTATTGCTATTTCACTGATTTTAAAAAAAATCAGTTATTATGTTGTTGGTCTTATCCAATGTACTTTTCACTTTATTGTCTTTTTCATCTCTGAAGTTCAATGTAGGTCTTTTCCCCTGCATACCTCCTATTTCTTTCATCATGTTAAGATTTTCCACTATATTGATGAACACAAAGAACATACTGACGATAGCTGCTTTATGTTGTTGTCTGCTAAATTCCCACATTTGTTTTAATCATTTCCATTTTCTTCTTGTTATGGGTTATTTGCTACTTTGCATATCTGTTTTTTTATTAGATGCCTGGCACTGTAATATTTACAGTGTTAGATGATGTTTCATCCCTTCAAAGAGTGTTGGACTTTGTTTTGGCATGCAGATGAATTATTCAGAATTTGTGCGATTCCTTGGGCAAGTCCACTGTTGTATTTAGTCCAGGACTAATTTAGCCCCATTATAGCTATACCTGTTTAAAGACTCTACCTGCTGTTCCATGACATTACATGGGACATCACAGCCAATGGGAAAGCAAAATACCTGACCTCTGTAAAACTGCCAAGAAATGTTTGGCCACCTTCTTTTCAATGGTTCTTTCTCCAGCCTCTTATAATTTCATATTTTCCCAGAATCCATGGAGGGCTATGTCTTAAGAACCAGAATGGGAGATGGAAGATAGCAGCAAGGTAGGTGGAGCGGAGCCCAGTTCTCCCTGTGCCCAGCTGGAACACCTAGCCGATCTTCTGAGGAATAGAGTGAACAGCCAGTGGAATCCCAGCTTATATGAAGTTTGCAGGCCAAAAGTTGTAGAGGACATTGAAAAAACAGATGGTGACGGGATTGTGTTGGGACGCTAAGGTCTCTGGGATCTGCCCAGGGAACTAGGCCACCCACCTGGCATCTGCTGCAGGATACTTGGAGGAGAGTTAGATCACCAGTTCCCTCCCCTACCAGAGAAGGGAGGGCAGCCCAGCACTAAGAGGGACCTGGATGCTTAAAGTAGCTGGGAGGAATTGAGATGAAGTGGGAAACACAGAGGCTGTGTACACCTGCTGGGACTGTGGATGCTGGCTAGGTCATTACCAGAGAAATTGGGGAAATGGGTGATAGCTGGAGAAGGGAGAAGAACTGGGCC